AAAGATATTTGTGTGTTGCTGTACATCCTGTGTGTATTCAGAAATGTGTAAGCATGTAAGGTGCACAACTAATGTAATGTAATGTGTATTTATATAGCGCATTTATTGTGGATGGCCATACACCTAAAGAGCTTCACAATCATGAGGGGGGGTTTCTCCACACCACCACCAGTGTTCAGCATCCACTTGGATGATGCGACGGCAGCCACAGGACAACGGCACCAGTGCGCTCACCACACATTAGATATAGGTGGAGTGGAGAGACAGTGATAGAGCCAATTAGGTTTAAGGGGATGATTGGGAGGCCATGATCGTAAAGGCCGATAGAGGGACTTTGGCCAGGACACCGGGGTTACACCCCTGCTCTTTCACGAGAAGTGCCATAGGATTTTTAATGACCACAGAGAGTCAGGGCCTCGGTTTAACGTCTCATCCGAAAGACGGCGCCCACTGACAGCGTAGTGCCCCCTTCACTTTTCCTGGGGCATTAGGACTCACACAGACCACAGGTTGAGCGCCCCCTGCTGGCCTCACTAACACCACTTCCAACAGCAACCTAGTGTTCCCTAGTGGTCTCCCATCCAGATACTGACCAGGCTCAGCCCTGCTTAGCTTCAGTGAGTACCGATCTTGGGCTGCAGGGTGATATGGCTGTGGCTGTGGTGATAATGTGCTCTGCGCTGGACTTTTTGCACAGTCTATTTCAGTTCCTCAAAATAGCAGTGCACCAACAATGCGCCTTAACACACCTCCTTTCTAGACCACACCCATGAGTCCACAAAGTTTCACAAATAGATTTACTATTTGAACAACGTGATGCAAAGTGGGAAAATTACTGCTGTGCTGGTCTGAAAAATAGCAACACATCGGGGCACGTCCTGCGCCTTCTTGCGCCGGGTGTATGATAGAGCCCTATGAGTATATGACATTAGGAATGACAAATATAGCAGGGAGTTAAATTACTCTTTATTTCTTTGCATTTTAACTTTGTAAACTATAAAATCACGGGTCTCCTCATGCTTTGTGTATCGTTTTGTGAGCCGACTGACAGCTGTTGTTCACTTGCGTGTTTTTTTGTTGGCCACGCCCACTGCTCCCTCTGCTCAGCACTCCACGTCCATCATGGAGCATTTTTAAAAACACTCTGAGGTAGACTTGAACCGAAAGAGGGGGGTTTCATGGCCCTTTAAACACAAAATTGTTTGGTGGGCTCACACTAATTCTCTCCCTCTCTTTGTCTCACACACACAAACACTCACACACTCTCTTTCTCTCACACACAAACACACTCGCGTCGTCTAAAACTCCCAACTTGTTTCCAATCAGAATTTT